TGTGGCTTTGCTACCCTTTTTGACAATTGTTGTTTTTAATTTTTTTGGTTTTTTCAACTTTGGTTTTTTGTGTGCTTTTATTAGATGGATTTATCTTATTTTTTTATTGTTGCAAACGGCTTTGATACATATTTGTGATATAGCAGCATATACATATTTTTATAAACAAATAAATAAAGGGGCCCCTTTCACAGGTAGAATGCATGAATGGAACTATTGACATGATGTTCTTTTTGGGAATAGGAGTCGCTTATTTAATTAGGCTGCTGTATCACTTTCAGTTCTAAATCATGGCTCTCAGTACCATCACTGCTGCTTTGCCCTTATGGAGAGCTTTTGCTCAGCCTTCTGACCCCAAAGTCATACCATAGCGTCCCAGATAAGTCTTTCCTGTCTCCCTCCCCATGCACCAGTCTCGTTTCCATAATCCACTGGGAATTATGGACTATCTTCCTTCAACAATGGCTGCAGGGAGCACTGTTTGGCTAAGTCTTTTCTTCACTGTGTGTACACAGAGCAGGGAATCTTTAAGTCCTTCTTTTGTTAATGGCATGATGTGGTCCGTGAACCCATCCTCACTCAAACTAATAGAAAAATGTAAATATTTGAAGTAGCGTTTTTCTTTTCTAACTTGACTATTTCTCTTTTGCGCGAATGAATTAATATTAAATTCTAAAACAAGCACAGCGCAGGAATTGTCTGAGCTTATATGACGGGAGCTAAAAATAATATTTTCTGCAGTAGGCTGTCTCGGTGCAAATTCCTTTAAAAACAATGGCCTAGCTAGAGGATTGTATTCCTGGAGAGCTAATCACACAGAGTTTCCCAGTGTTTCATCTCTTTCATCTCCTCCTGTGTGAACACCAGGCCTTGGGTTGATTAAACAATCTATGGCATTTAAAATGCTTTTTGGGGGATATTGTTGTTGTTGTTATAGAAGCTTTAGCTCATAGAATCATAGAGTTGGAAGGAATCCTGAGGATCATTTAGTCCAGCCCCCTGCAATGCAGGAATATGCAGCTGTCCCTTACAGGGATTAAACCTGTAACCTTGGTGTTGTTCTTAATATGAAATGTACGTTGTATGAAATGTACGTTCCAGCTAAGTGAGTACAGGATTGCAGCCAGCCGGGCTCCTTACCATGCAACTGGGCAGGCAGCTCAGTGCAACTCTGTTTAGCTCCAATGGGCAGGGGTTGCTCAGACATAGCGCCCCGCCCTGGACACCATCGAGGAACGCTCTGCCACTGGTTTATGAATGGCATGGAAAGAGGCTCCATTGGTCTGTTCTGCCAGTTTCTCCAACTCTAATACTTCAGGAGCCGAGCAGAGGGAAGTTGGTGGCGAACTAGCAGCTCAATGATTAAATGAATGGGCTATAGATTTCCCACTCCTGCCTTAGGTGTTCTTTTAGAATCCTGGAATATAAACACATGTTCACAAGTGGCAAGTACCACATGCAGGTTTTAATTGGAGGGGTATGTTTTAGTAAAAACGATAATTGGTGGTGTCCTAGTAATTGCAAAGTGTGAGTTTTAAGAGACCCTGTAGGTCAGTGGTAGAACATACGCCTTGTGTACCTGGTTTCTCTAATTGTAGGACCTCAGGTGTAGTAGAAGAACCTGTGTTCAGACCCACTGTCAGTAAGAGCAGGTAATACTGGGCTGGTTGGACCAGTGGTCTGCTTTGGTAGAAGGCATTTTAGTTCTTCACACAGGGATGGGGAACCTGCAGGCATCCAGGTGCGGACAGACTCCATCTCCCATCCATCTCAGACAGCCTGGCCAATGGTCTTGGAGGATGGGAGTAGTTGTTGAACAACATCTGGAAGGCCACAGCTTCCCCCCTCTGATTCAGCAGAATGGAAGGTGCTATTCCTTTGCCGCTGGTGGTATTATAATGGCCTCATGCGCTACATTAGCTTCAATTGCAGGACATCTTCTGTCGTTCTTAAGGCTTCGTTCTTTAACTAGCATCTTTATTTATTTATTTTAGTTACATACAGGCACAAGTCATGTCTTAATCAAAGCGCTGCCTCGTTAATGCGTACTGCATTGGATCAGACGACTTGCACGAAAATGCAAACCAAACAATACCCCCTTTGTCCACCGAAGGTGGCCGTCCCTCTGTACAGCTGACAGTGGATGGGGCCAAGTGCCATTTGGCTTGCTCTTTCAACAGCTGTATTAAATCAAACAGAAATCAAAACTTATTCTAGGCACAAAGCCCTCTGGAACTCCCTCTAAGGCTTTGTGGCTTTAGAGAATTGAAGGCTTGTGTATTGTCTCTGGCAGCAAAGTCTCTAGTTTCTATTTGATGCACATGGTTGTGGGCTGCACAGCTAAATGCTCCTTTAACATGCACCAGAGTTGCCACTGCTGATGTCAGATTTGCATCCGTTTATTCTCTTGTGCAGAGAGCGACCTGCTTCTCCTCTGTAGAGTGCAGAAATGCGCTGCTGAGCCACTGATACTGTCGGGTCTTGTAGCAATGTTGCCTGAGCCAGACAAGAGGATTGATTGCGTATTTGGGCTTATTGCAGGCTCTGTCCCCTGCGTTTGTGTCTCTGTTGTGTGGCCTGTTGTTGCTGGTGAGCAGCTGCTTTAGGTTCTCCCACCCAAGGTCGGTGAGAAGGAAGTTTTGTTGTCCAAAAACTGTAGAGTCATTCGTACATTGTTGGAGTGGTTTTAGCTGGGAGTTGTAGTGGTGGTTTGTCACCTTCTCTTCTGACCTTGCTGATCTCACCCCCCTCCTTCCTTCACTTGGTATTGTAGTTTAAGGCTAGCGTGATGTCAATCTTTCAGGTGTGAATACCTGTCCTGAGTTGCAGCACCTGTGGCTCTGTTGTAGGGCTTGCCTAGTATAGACAAGTGGACACTTGTGTGCAGATATCTGTAGTGATCATTGGGTTTCTGGTACAAGGGAGTTCTTAGGTGTCCATGATATAGTCCACCCAGGCTCAGTTCAAGTGCAGGTTTTGACCAATTCCTTAGGTGCTGCTTCATCCAAGGACCTTCTTTGTGTGTCTACTCTAAGGGAGGTGGAGAGGGTGGCAGCGCATGATTGGGTCTTCCTGATACTGGAATCCTCTCCCCAGAGAGATGCATCGGGTGCCACCACCATCAGCTTTTAGGCACCGGCACTTTTAATTAATAATGCATTTTAATATTTTGATGTATTTTGATTTGGTATTGAATGCTTTTTAAAAAAAAACAAATTAAGTCGCTTTGAGGAAAAAATTCTTGTAGTAAGTGACAAATAAATATAGCCGTTGTCAGGCCTGGGGGCCAAATGCAATCCTCCAGCCTTTGGGACCCCAAGGCCACAGACCTTCCTGGTCTTGCTTTGCAGCTACCTTGAGTGGGTCTGCCTGTCTGAAATGTGCCCTTGAACTCAAGGCTTTGAGTTCTTTCAGTGAATCTTGCTTGCCTGGTTGCAGGATACAAGCGATGTGCACCTGTGAGTGTAGAGAAATTAGCCTAGTTTGCAAAGGTGAAATTCACATTGGTTAGCCTGCCCACCTTTGCCTCTGACCCTGCCCACCCTCTGCTTGCGGCCCCCAGAAGGGAATGTGGTCCTGAGCCTACAAAGGGTTTTGATGTAAGTGAATTGTAGTGCCTAGTAATAAATAGTGATGTAGTGAAGTATGGAAGTGAGAGCTGGACCATCAAGAAGGCTGATTGCCGAAGAATTGATGCTTTTGAATTCTGGTGCTGGAGGAGACTCTTGAGAGTCCCATGGACTGCAAGAAGATCAGACCTCTCCGTTCTTACGGAAATCAGCCCTGAGTGCTCACTGGAAGGGCAGATCGTGAAGCTGAGGCTCCAATACTTTGGCCACCTCATGAGAAGAGAAGACTCCCTGGAAAAGACCCTGATGTTGGGAAAGATGGAGGGCACAAGGAGAAGGGGACGACAGAGGACGAGATGGTGGGACAGTGTTCTCGAAGCTACTGGCATGAGTTTGACCAAACTGCGGGAGGCAGTGGAAGACAGGAGTGCCTGGTGTGCTCTGGTCCATGGGGTCACGAAGAGTCGGACACGACTAAACAACAACAACAACAACAGTCGTTTAGTCGTGTCCGACTCTTCGTGACCCCATGGACCAGAGCACGCCAGGTAATATTAGAAACCTGGAAATGTTTAAGGCAACGACTAAACGACTAAACAACAGTAATAAATAAACCTGATACTTGTATTAGTCCAGGTTGACGCTTCAGTGCAAGTTGAAGCTCTGCTGTTAAGTTTTAAAGAGCTTTCTGCCCATGTGGTTCTGATGAAGATGGTGTCCTATCTCAAGCAGTTTTGATGCTATAGCATCTTGCGGGACGTTTGCAGCTTATATTTGCATAATATACACCTATTTTTTCCCGACAACTAAGTCCACTGCAAAAAGGTTCGGAGCAAATAATGAATGCCGAGTGGAGGACTTTTAATCAATGAAGTTGGCAAGTAACTTTGGTTCTTGAGTAAAGCGTATTCACTGAAGAGTTAGAAGGCGAAGTGTGGCTTAATCGAGAGCTTCCTTGTAAAAAGGAAAAGTATAATTCAGGGCTTCCCGCAGCAGCCATGCTGTGCAAAATACCTCTGTCCTGGGATGCAGACGCACACATAGCTCCACTATAGGCATTTGCCGACGCACCACAAATAACATCAAATGCTGTAATTAAGGAACCAACGTAAAATGCCAAAGCCTATCATTTCTGTGCTTTTTGGTCTGGAGGGATAAAGGGGAAGCATAGAGATTCTTTGTGTGGGGCTGAATCTGGGTGGTAGGGGAAGGGATTTATTTTCTGGCTGGCTTTCTTCTCCTTTGCTAAGATGCATTTTTCTATCATAGCGAGGGAACGTCGTTGTCGGAGCAATTTTTCATCTGCCAGTGATGTCGACATAATAGGAATGTGTGAGAGACAGCCTGCTCACAGCAGCTGAAATACCGAATCATAGATTTCAAAGGGATCCCATGGATCACCTAGTCCAACCCCTGCAATTCAGGAATATGCACCCATACGGAGATCAAATCTGTGACCTTGGTGTTATCAGCACCACACTCTAACCAACTGAGCTAACCTATGGGGATAGTTTCTGATGCCCAAATAAACTTTTGTTGGTACAGGAATGTGCATGTCTCTAGGTTAAACAGGGCTGCTCATCAGGCAGAATGTGGAATGACTAAACTTCGCCTCTATTTAGACAAAGGTTGCTTCAAGAAGATTAAAAACCGAGTTTTCTGTTTTGGCATAGTTTAATATCCTTCAAAAGTCAGCTGCAACTTTAAGCGGAGCGTTTGTGTGCCTGTGTGTGTTTTATTACGTCTGTTTTCAATTTACCTGAAAAAGAATACGCGTGCTTTCTTTTTCTTTTTTCCTGGGTTTACTCATGTTGCACTATCATCCGAGGAATTTCAGCTCCTTCTCATGGAGACTCTCCCCTTCTGCAAAACAAAAGGAAAAGGAAAAAGAAAGCTGCCTTTTTCACTTGACCTGGGAATGTGATTTCCTTTGCACAGCCTGCTTGCTGCTGTTTGGTTTAGTAAAATGTGGAGCTGCGTTAGCATTTGGCAGCCCTTCCTGGACCGTTGTGAAAGAGAGAAATGTTACTTGGACTCCATCCGCCTGTGTATCCACCCATTCACACGCCCTCACACATCTGGTGCCAGTCGGACGGACTGAAAAAGAGTGCTATGTACTCCTTTGAATGGACATTGCATAGTGCATTCCCTATGGGCCACAACGTGCCTTTTCTGTTCAGCTCTGAAAGAGAAGGGAAAGATGATAATGTATATGCTATTTCATGAAGAATCAAGACTAATGTATTTCAGATACTGGAACCTGGAATGATGCTCTTGCTTTTTGCTCCAGGAAAGAAGCCGACCATGTGCAGAATGCAACAAAAACAATTAAAAACAATTTTTAAAAGTCAAGTAGACAGCCATAGCAAACCATGAGTTTGCTTCCAAGCTTGCTGATACTCCCTTGAACGTGGGCGATGCTGTGTTGGCTACATAAGGACATATTACTTTGCTATTAGTGCCTAGGAGGGTGGTAATATGGAACAGCCCTGCTGGGTAGCAACAGCTGGTAGTGTTCCTGGCTTGAAGGGGGCTTTCTTGAGGTATTGGGTTGGCTAGTGCTAGAAGCAAGATGCTGGCAGACTAGATGGACCTTTTTTTGTCTGATCAAGCAAGGTTATGCAAAGTTCAGTGGACCGAAAGGAATTGATCCCAATTCTAAATAATACAGAGTTCATGTTTCCTGCAGAAAACAGTGCTGTATAAGAAGAAGAGTTTGGATTTGATATCCCGCTTTATCACTACCCGAAGGAGTCTCAAAGCGGCTAACATTCTCCTTTCCCTTCCTCCCCCGTAACAAACACTCTGTGAGGTGAGTGGGGCTGAGAGACTTCAGAGAAGTGTGACTAGCCCAAGGTTACCCAGCAGCTGCATGTGGAGGAGCGGAGAGGTGAACCCGGTTCAAGTGCCTGGCGCTACAGATCACTCAGTCCTCCCTTATCTTTCCCCCACCCTGGTTCTCCTTCTTCCATAAGTAAAACACAACACAACACAAAACAAAACAAAACAAAATCGCCCCTTTGAGAAGGAGGAGACAGCGAGATCTTCAATCAAAGCATGGAATATATTTTGCCTCACTAGGGATCAGGGACCACGGGCTGTGTATAGACTGTACATTTTAAGCACATTTTAAGCACGTGCCATTCCTCAAAGAATCCCGGGAACTGCAGTTTGCCACTAGCAGAGCTACGGTTCCCAGCACCCTTAAGAAACCGCAGTTCCGAGGGGAAGTCATGTGCTTTAAATGGGTGGTGTGCAAGCAGCCGAATCTGTAGCGGGAAGACGTTCCAGGTGTCGGTAGGAGTGTACACCACCTCCCTCATCCCCGAAGCAGAGCTTTTAACGCAACACGATGAACAGCGATAATGCAAACATTTATTTTGTTCTTGTTTTGTTGCTCTTTTTCAATTTAAAAAAAGCAGCATGATTCTGAGCAAAGCCTGTATCGTCGTAGGAAATGTGGCTGTACAATAAATAACTCTCTTAGGAAAGAGAGCTCTATTTCCACTTTTCAATACCCAGGCTGCTGCTGCTGCCGCTGCCTTCGTCTCTTTAGTAGGCTGCTGCTGTGTTTGCAAATATAAGCTAGCAGCTCCCTCTGCAGCTGGCATCAGTGCAGGCTTCCTTTTAAGAAACGAGTTGCAAACCCTGTATTCATTTGCATGAAAGGGGTGGTCTGTGATCTCCTTGCAGTTCGTTGTCATTTTTGTGCAAAAGCAGCTTCAAACAGCTGCGTTGACTTAGTTTAAAAACAAAACAAAACTAGTACATTTAGATACTGCTTTGCCCCTCTTTACCCCAAGAGTTTGTAGGGATTTTATCCACATCTTGGTTTAACTCCAGTTTAATGAAAAATATTCTTAAATGGTGGAATGTCGAGTTTTCACTGTACGAGCAGGTTTAAGCTGAACAGCGAAGCTGAAATGTATTATGGTGAGAACGTGGTTCTGATTTATTGCGTTTTATTCTGAAGGTTCGTAACAGTTGAGTTGGGGAGCAGATCTGGCGTTTTCAAGCATGCAAGCTTTCTTTCAACCAAATGCTTAAAAGATATAGGCTCAGCAAAACCGGCAAGTGATTAGTTGTCAAAGTTTCTTTTTAGGCTTTCTGTGAAAGCAGAGCACTGGCGGTACAAAAGGCTATGGGAGGAATGAAGTTTCGCTTTCAGGTGATTGCTCCATCAGGGCAAGCATTTAGGTTTGCCAGGTGGAACAATCCCCCCTCTTCTTCCCCATGTGTTGTTCTGGTGTTCTCCTGACATTCCCCCCAATCAGGTGAGGGGAGGAGAAATGGGAAAGACCCATTGCACAATTGCGGAGGTCCTTGAGCAATACCGTGGTACCCTGGGTTACAGACGCTTCACGTTACATACGCTTCAGGTTACAGGCTAACCCAGAAATAGTACCTCGGGTCAAGAACTTTGCTTCAGGATAAGAACAGAAACCGTGTGGCGCAGCGGCAGCGGGAGACCCCATTAGCTAAAGTGGTGCTTCAGGTTAAGAACGAATTAAGTACTTAACCTGAGGTACCATACATACAGGACTCTTTAGTTGAATCCCACCATATGTGTGTTTGTGTGTCTATGTCTGTCTTGTCTTTCAGGGAAGTAGAGAAAAAGTAATGAAACATAATAAAAGCATCATTATGAAATCTGCACTTCAGTAAAACAACGCAAGACACATCGATTGATAAAAATTAATTAAAAGTTAATTGAAACAAAGTCAAAAGGCACAAGGAGATGAGGAGATACATTTTTATTTTTATTTTTTTGCACAAAAATGGGGCCCACAATTGAAAGGTACCTGTCTCTGGTACCTGTCCTCTTTTTTTAAATGAGTTGTGAGTAGGGCCTCCAGCTTGGGCAGTTTCGTACAGGTGTAGTCAGGCCTTCAGGTAATGTGCTCCAAAACCAGTTAGAGCTTTAAAGGCCAAAAGCTGCACTTTAAATTGAACCTAGAAACAAACACTGTGGTCTGCGTAATCTTTTTGTGTGTGCATGTGTGTATGGGGACGTGGACCAGAGTGTTGCATAGAACTTCTGTGTGGATCTGTATGACCTTTAGGCTGCTCTAAGCCTAACAACACCCCCCTACAAAAAAGTGAGACACATCAGTGGGTCATAAGTGCTTTGGGGCATGCTGTGTTGCCGACAGCGACTGTTTAGTGCAAGGGCACATGTTCCTTACAGGAAGCTGCCTTATACTTAGACCAATGGTCCATTTGGCTCGGTATTGTGTACACTGACTGGCAGCAGCTGTCCAGGGTTTCAGGGAGGGGACATTCCCAAACCTAGCTGGAGATGCTTGGGGTTGAACCTAGGACAGGGGTAGGCAACCTAAGGCCTGTGGGCTGGATGTGGCCCAATCGCCTTCTCAGTCCAGCCTGCGGACAGTCCTGGAAGCAGCGTATTTTTACATGAGTAGAATGTGTGCTTTTATTTAAAATGCATCTCTGGGTTATTTGTGGGGCATAGGAATTGGTTCATTTTCTTTTTCAAAATATAGTCCAGCCCCCCACATTGTCTGAGGGATGGTGGACTGGCCCGCGGCTGAAAAAGATTGCTGACCCCTGACCTAGGACTTTCTCCATGCAAATGCTGCAACACAGAGCTGCAACCCTTTTTATTAATCCCTCAGTTGTTTCCCTGTTCAGGGAAGTTTTTAATGTGTGATATTTTAGTGTATTTTTGGTCTCTGTGGAAGCCGCCCAGAGTGGCTGGGGAAACCCAGCCAGATGGGCCGGGGTACACATAATAAATTATTATTATTATTATTATTATTATTATTATTATTGGAGCAAGAGCTGATTTTACAGGACCAGGTAGGAAAACTTTTGGGAAGTCGAGAGGACTCTTGGAAGTATTCTTTGTTTTGTTTTATTTCCTCTTCTTTTCAAGCCATTTTTGTGTGACAGTGACTAAGGCTGGCATGCTCACAAACGTTCTGAGCAGTTCAGTATTTCTGGACTTCACCTACAAGTCTGCATAGGGGATTCTCTTCCGTAATCAGCAGTTCAGAACTGACAGGAAGCGCCATTGGAAAAAAAAAACATTGCCGGCGAGCCTTTTATAGGTGGCTGAGGCACTGACTCGCTGCAGTACTTTAGTTTTCATGAGGAACCCAGCAAGACACAGAGGTTGCCAGCACCCGTTGTAAAGCTGAACTCTGCGGCCTGACCACCAGAGCAGTTTGTGGTAAATTAAGCCGGGAAAGGAAAGGACGGAAATCACTTGACAAGAGATTAAAGGAAAAGTAATGGAGGGTGAAAGAAAATGGCTTGAAAGAGCCAGGCCAGAGTTGTCTCCCGAAGTCAGCCCTTGGCCAAAGACGCTGTGGGATTTTTTATGAGGATTGTTTGGGTCACTATGTAGCCTTACTTTCATTAATGAGAATTCTTGTGAACCACCATGAAACCTTAGTGTTAAACCTCCAGGTTCAGGGCAGGCATACCGATTAAAAGCCTCCTGCAAATTAAAGACATGGATCTGCTGCAAGAGTTGGCAATCTG